TGTTTTACCTAGTTAGGGTCTCTAATGCTGTGATAAAATACCATATCAAAAATTGTCTTGGGGAGTAAAGGGCTTATTTTGTATTACACTTCCAGGCAACAGTCCATCACTAAAGAATGTCAGGGCAGAAACTCAAGTAAGGCAGGAACTGATGCAGAGGCCACAGAAGAACGCTACTTACTGGCTTTCTCCTCGTGGCTTGTTCAGTTTACCTTCTTATAGTGCCCAGGACCACCAGCTCAGGAGTAGTACTGCCCACAGTGAGCAGAGCCCTCCCACACTGGTCATTAATCAAGAAAATGCCCTGTAGCTCTCAGTGCGCCATGAAGGGAAGTCGGGGCAGGAATTCAAAACAGGAACCGAGAGACAGGAACTGAAGCAGAGACCATGGAGGAGTGCTGCTAACTAGCTTGCTCTCTGTGACTCGTTCAATCTGTTTTCTTATACAACCCAGGACTACCTGTCCAGGGGATGCACCACCCACAGTGGGCTATGCCCTCCCATATGATTAAACAAGAAAAATGCTCCATGCACATGCCCGCAGGCCAAACTAAAAGAAGCAGTTCCTCGGTTGAAGCTCCATCTTCCCAGGTGACTCCAGTTTGTGTCACGGTGACGAAAACAACAGAGTAGCAGAGAAAGCCATGATTGCCCTGAGACACCGGCCATGAAGAACACGACATACCTTGTGTCATGTAACCTTTACATATAATGATTACAAATGTTGGGCTGGGGAGAACCTGAGTTCTAGCCCCAGGATTCATGTAAAAAGTCAGATATGATGGTGACCTCATGTAACTCCAGCACTAGGCAGACAGACACAAGTGGGTCTCTGGGACTCACCAGCTGGCTAGCCCAGTCTGTTTGGCAAGCCCCAGGCCTATGGGAGACTCTGTCTCAAAAAAAAAAAAAAGGAGGAGGACAGTACCCAAGGTTGTCCTCTGACCTCCACATGCACTGTACACACACACACACACAGAGAGAGAGAGAGAGAGAGAGAGAGAGAGAGAGAGAGAGAGAGAGAGAGAGAGAGAGTCGGGGAAGAATATGGATCCTCAAAGTTCTTGCAAGGAAAGAAGAGGGCTGGGGGTATTCTATACTGGGAAGGCAGATGTCCCTGCCCCATGACCCAACCCTTCTAGAAAATGGACCACTTGCAGCACAGGCAATGAGTCCCTAAGATCCCTCCCCAAGGTGTATCCTGGCCCTGGTGGACCTCAGAGAACCTGCTGCCACAACCAGCTGATAACTGGTCCCACCCCTCCGTCCCGCTACCAGGCCATGAGCTCAGCCTGTCCCGATAAGATCACAGCCCTCGGGTGACCGTGCCAGGACCCAGGCCTGCTCCCCGTGAAACTCCAAGTTAATGAATGCAAGGCCTGCACGGCCCACAACGGGGTCGTTCTCCCCAGTTGTGCATGAGCAGTCCCATGTAATATTTATAACCCGGGGTAGTGCGAAGCCTTAAAGGGAGGCGGGGCCTGGAGCTTTGCACTGCTCACCCAGCCCCGTGAGTGAGTGTAAAAGCACCCTCCTCAAGTAAGAGAGCCACCCAGCAGAGCCTGGACCCTGGGAGAACCTCACCCAGCACCCAGCCCTCAGGTTTTCCTGTGAACAGAGAGAAGTCTCACATCCAACCACACTTACTCTGTAGGTAAGGACAGCCTCTCATCTTTTTGTCTTCCTCCTGGCAGACTGAGGCGCTGTAGAAAGCATGGAAGACACACCCATCTTTTCTGGGTCTCCTCAGCAGCCCAGGAGAGCTCCCTCACCCGGAAGATGCTAGTTAGACATGTGAACAAGATGTGAACCCAGTGTGAGTGGGGACCAGGAACCAGATTATAACTAGCGAAATGCATCTTGGGAGCTGGAGAGAGGGCTCAATGGTTAAGAGCACTGGCAGCTCCTCCAGGGGATCCGAGTTTGATTCCCAGCACCCACAAGATGGCTCACCACCATCTTGTTCCAATGTCCTCTTCCTGCCTCTTATGGCAGTGTACACATGTGGTACACAGACATGCATGCAGACAAAACACGCACACATGACACAAATTAATTCATTTAAGGACACTTTTAATGAATCATGGTGGACAACTGGACAGCAAACCTGTGCTGTGAGGGTGAGCGACAAACTAGGCTCTCAGGGCTTCTGGCCACTGTCCTAGCTGCCAACGAATACAGCTGGGCTCCAATAAAGCTTGTTTATGGTTGTAGAAACTTAGATTACACATAATTTTCATGTGTCCTGGAAAGTCATTCTCCCTTTGATTTAAAAAAAAAAAAAAAAAAAACTGTAAAAACAATTCCAAAGTCAATGGCCATGTAAACACAAGTGGCCAAGGCCTAGGGCAATAGCTCAGTTGGTAAATATGAACAATGAGTGACAAGGGGCTATTGTGTTCTGTTCTTCTGATGCCCAGCCTTGCAAACTGTTTCCTCCACTTTGGGGGGCCCTTGACTTCCAGCGATGCAGCTCAGGGCAGCAGCAGATCCGCCTTTCCTCCCCTTCCTCTGCTCTCCCTTACCCCCTCACTTTCATCAATTAGCATTTGAATCTACATTGTCAGGAATAACAGCTTTCGCATTTCTATCTTGGAGCCATAATCAAGTATTCTGGGCTTTTCTCCTAGGCTGGCTGATTTTTAAAAGAAAAGTAATGTTCTTAGATAACGAATACATTTACGTGATTGTGGGTGTATAAAGAGGTCCCTGATCAGGGCCCAGCAGTGTGATGTCATTCCACCCTCCATCGGCCCCATGCTGAAGTCTTCTGTCTTCCTGGGAGGACACTGCCAGCACCAATGTTAAGTGGACCTTCTCACCTTCTCTTCACACACACACACACACACACACACACACACACACACACACACACACACAGTGTTCTGTCTGTCCTCCCCACTGCCACAAGGCTTTCTGTTCTTCCAGGGTGTTCTTGGTCCTGTCCAAATGCCATGCCCTTTCTTTCTGGCTAAACAGGATGGTGACTTGGGACAGGTGACACTATGCCTAGCCTCAGAAGATAAGCCATGAGTCCTGGTCAGAGGATCTCAAATTCAGTAAGTAGAATCAACCATGAAATTTTCTGATGCCACAGATACCCAGCCACCACCCCCTGCCAACAGGATGTGAACCCTTGGTTGTGATCTTGACATCCATTTCTGCTAAGGTTTTAAGCTGGGAAAAGGAGGTTGACCCCTCCCATTCCATCTCCTGCCTGACACGCCTTCTCACTGTCTGTCTTGTAGTAAGAGGTAAGTTATGGGAATGTATTTTCCTCAAGATAAATGGAGAGACCTTCCACCTATTCTGATCAAACCACATTATACCTGGAACAGTCTTGGGATGACAGATTGGCAACCCAAAGGCCTTGAGGCTGAGAGTGACAGTACAGAGGTGTGGAAGTAGAGAGAGCACACAGTGATGTCCTGGGCTTCTAAGTCAACACACAAGTGGCCCTGGTTCCTACTAAGTGGACAACAAGTACACTTTGGGACCAAGTAACTGTGACTTTCAAGTTCTCCTACTAGCAGACTTTTTATTAGAGAAAAGGGCATCTCTCCTCTGTGCCATTGCTTTCTTCTTTGAGTCTGTGCCAAAATCCAGCTTTGATGTATAAGATCTTCTCAAAGTCATCCAATCAATGATAAAGAGGAGGGATTCTGCAGGCAGGGAACGTCAAGATCATGATGGGAAGACATGCAGAGATGACCGGCCACACTAGCAGAAGCCCATGAACTGTGGACTGGTGGCTGTGGAGCCCCCACGGGACTGGACTAGGCCCTCTGGATATGGATGGTTGTTTGGCTCCAACTGTTTGGGAAGCACCCAGGCAGGGGTATTGGGATCTGTCCCTGGTGCATGGGCAGGCTTTTGGGAACCCAATGCCTGCGGTGTGATGCCTTGCACAGCCTTGGTGCAGTGGGGAGGGGCTTGGACCTGCCTAGGCTCAGTGTGCAGGACTCTGCTGACTCCCCATGGGAGACCTTGATTTGGAAGATGTGGGGATGTGGGGTGGCTTGGGAGGGAGGGCTGGAGGGTGAGAGGAGGGAGGAGGGGGCATCTGTGGGTGATATGTAGAGCAAATAGAAAATTTCTTAATAAAGAAAAAAAAAGATCTTCTCAAAGTCCTCTGGCTTCTTGTTTTCACTGAGCTGCTTCTTTCCAGCTTAGTCTCTCTGTCTTGTTTCTCTTATTTATTAGCTTTCTGAAATACATCCTCACATAACATTCTCAGAGCAGGCCCATAGAAAGCAGACTGTCTGCCTTCTCCCTGTGCCCATTGTCTTTGACCTTGGTATGAGTGCTCATGTCAATGTCAATACTGATCTGAATTCTGCCCATTTGAGGTGGCCCAATTTGGCAAATTCCAAGCTGTTTTATCCTTAGTATTCTGAAGTTTCAGAACATGTCTAGAACTGTTTCCATGTGTCTTGCTGAACACTCACTGAGTCTGTTACTTGGAAATTTGTATCTTGTCTTTTGATTTTCATATATTACTTCTTAATCAATTTCCTCTCAAGATATACCTTTAGGCATGGGGGTACATCTTCACAGCTACACATGTGCATGCATACATGTAAGTATGGGTATAGAGGTCAGAGGTCGATGTCAGGTATCTTCACTGTCATTTTAAGACTAGGTCTCAGCTGGCTAGGCTGGTTAGCAATTAGCTCCAGGAATCTGCCTGGTTCAACCAACCCCTGCCACTGGTGTTATAGATGTGTGCCGCCATACCTGGCTTTTACAGAGGTAAAGCCCATGAGTTCAGATCCCCAGGCTGTCCATCCAGGGGAGTTCTGTCTAATACTGCTCTGGATGGCCTACCTTCCTTCCCATCATCCCCCTGAAGTTCATCCCTTTATGCTTTCTAGTCCCTTCGTGACCATTCTCTCAGCAGTATCTGATGCTGGAGAAAGGGAAGACACAAACACAATCTGACTACTTTCAGATATCAGCTTCTTCTATTAAGTGAGTAACAGTCTACTTAGTTACTACACTAGAATTGTATGAAGTTATATTTCATATAGAAAATGAACGTGAACCCCTCCCCATGGCGTAAATTATAGAGAATTGAACCTGACAGATATCCCTTCCCAGTGTGGACTTGCGAGTCTGTTTGTCTTTGAGCCATGGGCAGGCTGGAGAGCTCCTCCCTGACTGCCTGAAGCAACCCTCTGCAGGGAAGCAGATCCCTTCCCACAAGCAACCTCTACCTAGAAGAGAAGGCAGGTCGCCAACCCTCCTTCCTGATGGAGGCAATTCTAGAAATAGCCTATTGTTCTGAGAGCACCCCATCCCTTCAGTGAGCCCTCAGGAACCCCTATGGAAAGAATTTCCATCATCATCTCTCTGTTCCTCCTCTCTCAGTCCTGACTTCTGGGATTACCTCCCAGGTGAAGGATTTTCTCCAAAGTCTTGTCCCAGGCTCTGCTTTCAGTGAGTCTTGACATGCACTCCGTGGAGCACATTCTGTGTGCAGCATATTCTCTATGTAGCATGTTCTCCAAGGAACTGAGTTTGGGTACTGAAAGTGCTAGCATGTTTGGAAGATGGGAGCAGAAGTCAAGCAGCCAAAGATGCTGGTTTTAGTGAGGAGGTCTAAGCCAGAGGTGTCCAGGAAATTTGTTAGGGGGGCCTAGGATATACTCTCGGAGAAGTGGAAAGGGTACATGATGGCCCGTGAGAAGACCTCTGGAGGAGGGTCTGTTGAGACCTAAGCTGCACCCAGTTCAGAGTCCTTGTGATCTAAGTGAGATCAGCAGCCAATGAGTCATATTAGTCCAAGAGCAAGGTGTGGGTAGGCCTTCCCACCCAGGTCCCCAGGACATAGAAGGCCACAACTGCTCAGTCGGTTGGCACTAACTGACTGACCAGATGTGGACTTCTGAGATCAGATCAGATCCCATTCTCAAAGAATTGTAGCCCAAAGGACGGGGAAAGAGCCTGGCAAGCTGAGCATCGAGTGGGAAGTGGCGGGCATGGGAACGGGGACCTGAGTTTTTACAGCTTGACTATGTGTTCCTCAATGCCCACCTCATTTCTGTTTGCCAGCAAGACCCACTTACCCCACAGCATCAGCAGAGTGCTTGGGAGAGGCTCTGGGCCTCTGGGGCTTCTGGTGTTGGAGCTGAATCCCTCTGTGAATAGTAAAGGGGGAATCTTACTCCACTGTGGTATTTAAGAGTAGGTGGGATTAGCTACAGTGATCAGAATAGAGCCTCACAGTTGAATCCTAGTGGCTTTATAAGAGGGACAGAGCAGAACACTCAATCATACAGTGCCTGTCACCCAACATCCCACACCCTGCACCACCTCAGGACTCTTTCAGCAAGAAGGTCATGTGGTCCTTGAGCCCGTATAACTGAGAGCTAAGGAGCCTCTTTTCCCGACAGAGTTGCCCAGCTTTGGTAACATGTCACAGTGATGGAAAGTAGGCTAATGAGCCTCAAACCAGGGAGGGCATCCATCAGCCTCCTTGGAAGCTGGGTCTGAGCATTGTGACTAATGCCATGGGTACTAAAGAAGCAACACCATGCCATCGGCAGTGCTGAGTAGTGGCCACTGTTCTCTCTTCCTCCGACCCCTTTCCATAGCTGGGAAATGGCCACAGGTGGACCTTGGGCATCATAGAACAGCTGCATGGTGATGATCCTGGTGCCTTTCACGACCTCATGGAGCAGAGCCTCTGAAGTCTTGCAGTAAGAGGATGGCCTTGGCTTTAACTGGAGAAGCACAGCTGGAAGCTTCCACACAGCATCAGCATTCCCCTGAGCAGATAGAAGGCCAGATGGGTGAGGGTCATTCTCAACAGGACTTCTGAGTAGCTGGCTCAGGCTAGAATCAGAAGAGGAGACAGAGAAGGTGTAGGTGAGGCCATGCCCAGGTCCAGGATTTTCACAGGGAAATTCCACCTTGGAACAGGGCAACAAAGGAAGGAAAGAAGGAAGTGGTCTGGGGGATCTGGGGCTCGCAGCCCAGAAGATCTGCCTTCTTAGAACAGACCCCTCAGGGAGAGAAGCAGACAGACACACCTCTGAGGTCGTCAGCTCAGAGGCCCAAGCTCCCTCCCTGATAGTAAGCAAAACCGGCCTAGGCACGAGGGGACACAAGGGGAATGTGAGATGGGCAGGGATGTGGACAGGGATAGCCATCCTGGCTCCAGAGAACATAAACCTGGCTTTCGACCTGGAGAAGTCGGGGAAATCAGCAACAGAACAGCTCTCAGCAAGTTCTTAATCCTCCCTGGGTGTAGTCAGAGCTTAAACCACGGGATGACAGGGGAGCACTGGATGTGGGGAACCAGGCCCCACCGGCCTGCTGGACGTTTATGAACTCTGTAGCTTCTCAACTAAGGAGTGGATTCCCTACTGAGTGGACGAGGGAGGCCCTGGGCACAGCAGTGGAGAGAAGTGCCATGGGCGTGAACAGGCAGCAGACTGCCAAACCAAGCACAGGCCACAGTGACGACCCTGGCAAGGCTCTAGTCTCCCCTATGTGGTCCACATGAGCACTAGGGTGACCTTCAAGGCAAGGCTGGACACCCACTGCATAGCTGAGGAAGATACTGTCCAGGCTAGAAACTAGCAGGTTATTTTTGGTCACAACTCATTTCCCTCTGGATCCTCCTGTATTTTCTAAGGGCAAAGATATGGAAAGTCCTGTTGGGAGAGGGGGGGGGTGAACAATCACAACACAATGCATCCCTAGGATATGAACTGGTAAGCACCATGTCCTTACATCTCTGCAGCTCACTGGCCCTGCAGATGGAGGTTCAGACATCGAGGGTGGCGAATCCTCTATTAGATACGGCTAGGGTCTCGGGGTCAGAGATGGTCCTCAGGATAGGCAGAGCCTCCAGCAAGCCATAGCCTGGAGAAGCCCCAGATCTCCAGAGACTTGCAGCCTCCTTTACATGTTATCACAAGTCTTTTTCAAGTTCAAGTCCGCACTGAATTTTCCAACGGCAAAACAGAAAGTCTGTATGTAGTTCCAGCAGGCAACAATCATTAAAATGCAGCCTGCCGTGGAAGAGTGACGAGACTAATCATCAATGGGCATGCATCAAGGAAAGGTCTGTGCTGGGCCGAGACAACAGCGCGACCAAGCAAATGTTTGCATTCTTTAAGAATAGCATCTCATTTATAAAGTATGAGTAATAAAATCAATACTGCTGAAATTGAGCAGCCGCGGCAGGGTGGAGTGTGTTCTCCCAGCCTTATGACAGGTGGCCAGATAAGAATGTTCTGTATGCTTTCTTACTTTTAGAATAGCAGTACTTTAAAAGAGAGAGAGAGGGGGGTTGTGGATGAAGATGAAATGTACGGTTGCAAGCATGTGGGAATAATGTACCTCACTGGTTAGCCCCACATCTTAAGTATATCCTGCCCTAACAGTCAAGAACTACATTGGTTAGTTGATAATATCTGTCCTTAAAAACCCATTAACTTAAGTGTGTAGACTAAAACTTGGTGGCCCATGCACACTTATTTTTAAGTGAAACAGGGAGGAAAGTCTAGGGTGAACCCTTCCCCTGGACTCAGAAGAACAGCACCTCAGTGCCTTGGAGAAAGATGGCCACCAATGTCATTTCTGTATGGTGATGGTGGAGTCTGGAAGGTAGGTGGTTGAGGTCTCTTTGCCTCATGCTTTGTGCTATGCACAGGAGCGGCCGAATGGCAGTTAAGGGACTACAAGGGCATGCAGCAGGCCAGAGTAGGCTACTGACCAACAGGAGAACCTGGAGCAGTTCCCCAGAGAACTGCCGCTTGCAACTCTCCTCATGGCCTCCAAAAGACTCCGGGACTCAAGTCAAGGTCCCCACTTTCGGTGGCTCCTGTCTGCCCCTCCTAGTCAGAAGGGCCATCCGTCTGTCCTGCACCTGAACTCTAGAGCTCTGGCACCTGGGCTGGCCTTGGGCCCCTCCTTCCATCTCTGTCCCACCTACACCTAAGTTCTGTGCTGAGGTGCATTGGCCAAATGTCAAAGACCATGATTCAGGTTCATCTATAGAGCCCAGCCTGGTGGTGATGCCTGAGAGCCCCTTCCTAGGCTGGCCATGGGCCAACTCACCACTGACTCTCCAAGGCAGCTGGGAAGCAGGCCCTCCTGTCCTGACCTGACACACTGCCTCCTTATTCAGAGTTACAGCTGGGCCAGGCACTTCAAGAGGTACCTGGTGTCCACCAGACTCACCCTTGGGAGACCCCTCCCTGGTTGTCCCTCAGAGGGCTCTGAGCAGTGCTCAGTGATGGAACGCTGCCTTGGCAAGCCCACAGTGGGGCCGCCTGCCAAGTGCTCTCCCGGCATCAGGGGCTGTTCTGCAGGAAGGAGGAAAAATGACTGCAAATAAGAGCAGACGTCAGCTTTCTCTCCGCAGCAGCAGGATGAGGTCATTCAAAGCATGCGCTCCCCTTGCTGGAGTCTTTTCATTCGTTTGGAGTGGGCAGCCCTGAATCCGGGGTGCACCTGTGTGACATCTCCATGCACACAGCAGTGCCCAGGGCCCTTGGGACCTCAGTCGCTGGGACCCTCTGCTGCCCTCTGCAAGAGCTGGCCATTTGAGACCTCGCTGCAATGGGCTGTCTAAAAATAGTAGTTACAAAGCAGCAGTGCTTCCTAGAGCCAGACACTTTCCTGACACACAGAGGCTGCCAGGAGCCACCTGCAGCCCTGCTACTGTCCTGACCAGGGCTCAACCCATGTTGCTCATCTGACAGTGATTCATGGGGTACTCACCAGAGCCATTGGTAACCCAGGGAGCAGACCCTGGGAGCAGCCCCAGATTCGCCCCCTGAGGAAGCTTAGTCAGGAGAAGAAGGGGCCTATACAGAGTCAACAGCAAAGATGTCACACTAGGGAGCATCCAGGAGGACAAAGCTTCAGGCAGTGAGGGCAAGTGGGCAGGGGATCCTGCTGCTTATACTAGAAAGAAGTCGGAATGCAGACAGATGTGGGCAGCAAGATGGACGTGGAGATCACAAATAGGCAGACTGAGATGACTAATATGCGGACAGACAGATGAGATAGGTAGGCAGATAAGTAAGTAGATAATAAATAGGATAGATGATAGATAGATAGATAGATAGATAGATAGATAGATAGATAGATAGATAGATAGATAGATAGATAGACAGACAGACAGATAGACTACTTATGGATAAGAGAGAGACTATGAAACTACCATGGCCATATACATGTTGTAGACATGAGTGTCCACTCACATCTTATACTCATAAGTGCTTATAGTCACACATGCATGCACATATGCTAGCATACTCAAATATGCACACTAATATGTTCACACAGTCATGTGTGCACTCATACATGCCTAGACACATATGTGCATATTTACATAAATGCATATTCATGGACACACTCATATATGTATGCTCACATCTGCATACACTAACACAGATTCAGACTCACAAATGGCAGAAGTCACAGTGCATTTGGGAGGCAGCTTGCTTCCCATCATTTGCCCCAGTCTGCCCTCCATGTTCACATGTACTACTGGCCCTGATTACACACAGCTGTGGAGTGAATGCCTCTTCTCCCATAGACTGGAGCTGCTGTCCTGCCTTTCAACCCACATGCAGCTTTGGACCAAGACCTCAGCAGTGGGGACATCCAAGATGGAAGTCAAATCAATGACAGACTAAAAAAAAAAGCTCTCCCCTGGGTCCTCCTATGGTTCACTCCCACCCTATGGTGCTCAGTACACACTCTAAGGCAGCAGAGCCAGAGTGTGCCAAGACAAATTGCTGGAATATTGTCAGACTTTGGGTGACATTGTGAGGAGAAAGCTCCAGAATACTTGTGGGTTTGATTCTGATCAAAGAACAGACATGTTGGTACACTTGAGGGTACTGGATCCCAAATCCACGTGTTTTAAGTTAACACACTATCAGTGTACATGGTATGATGCATCACGGCCAAGTGTACAAAGCCATCACAAACACTACAGCAAGGAGAGATTCTTGTCCTTGTTGGGCAGATGGTGGAGGCCCCAAAGGCTGCAAAGCTTCCTCAAGTTGCACAGTGCAGGTGAGCTAGTGTCCACTGACGGCCACTGAGGCAGGAATGCTCAGCCCTGCTGTGATTATGGAGACAGGCATATTGGGCAGTTCAGGGACCTGGTGTGAACCATTGAGGTTTCCACAGCTTCCCCCAGCTGATCGTCTTCTCCTTCCTTTTCCTCAAGATGTTAGCCCTGGGATTGTGGAAAACCTGATCAAGAGAGGAATCCATAGTTGAGCATCATGTACACACACTCCTCCTGTAGTAGAAACATTTCAGACCAAAGTGAACTGCCTCCCTGAAGGCATAAAGTAGTGTTACGCATTTCTGAGGCATTGTGGGCTTGATGCTTTAATGTGTTCATGTGGGGCTTCTATTGGAACACAGGCGAGTGAGAGCTACCTCAGAGTGGTCAGTGGGGACCCAGGTGGGAGTGGGGAGGAGGGGTGCATTGAGAGGGCTCTGTAAACACAAATGAGGGACCTCTGCCCCGCAGAGGGCAGGAGGCAGAGACTACCAGAAGCAGGGATCACTCCCTTCCCTTTGTCACTCCAGTGCTGGCTCCGGGGAGTCCATGGTTGCTAGTGTGGCACAGTCCTTGGCATGAGCCCAAGGCATGCCTGTCCTCGGCCCACACTGTGCCGGTTGTGCTGAAGGCTATGAGAAGGGCAGGCCTTGGTCAGCTGCCCTGGGTGTTGGGCATCTGGGTGGGATTCTGTGTATCTTCACATGCAAGATGGCCAAATGAGTCACAGAGAACCAAAAGCAGGGGAAGGAAGATCCATGAGAGCCAACAAAATGAATGCAAATTGTGTTCT